GTAGCATATTAGGACCTCTACTGTTTTTAATTTTCGTCAATGATCTTCCCGAAGCTGTTGGATCGGACTCAACTATTCATGCTTACGCGGATGACACCACATTTAAAGCCAGCGCTAATATCGACAATGCACCTATGTAATTGGAACGACGTCTTCAAGAATACACGGATAAATTAAGTAAATGGTCTAGCGAAAATGGGATGGTCCTAAACGCTGTTAAAACCAAAGCATTACTTATCACCGGAAAGAGGCTACATTCATCATTAGTTGATGGCAATCACCTGTCAGAGACCCTTGATGGGGCCGAAATAGAACAAGTAACCTCTTATAAATTGCTTGGTGTAACACTCGATCAAGATCTTACATTTAGTGACCAGATTTCTAACCTAAAGGCCAAGCTTTCTCAGCGTATTGGTTTATTGAAAAAGATAAAGAGATACCTTCCAATAAAAGAAAGACTCTTATACTATAACGCCTTGATTAAACCCGTCCTTAAGTACGGGAGCATGGTTTGGAATACCTGCGACGTTAAAGAGCTTCACTGTCTCCTAAGGTTACAGAAAAGGGCTGCCCGAGTAATTCTTGGAGTGGACCCCTATTCTAGAAGTGTTGTAAACTTTAGTAAACTAGGCTGGTTGCCTTTTTTTGATGAAATCAAACTAAATAAGTGTACAAAGATTTTTAAGAGCCCTAAATGCGATGTTCCGATTTACATCAGAGACTTGCTCAAGCCGAACAGTTCTGTACACAATAGGTCTACCAGATATGGCAATTTAAATTTAGTGTGTCCCAAATACCTAAGAAATAACGACGGTGGCAAGGCATTGATTGTTGACGCAGTTAAGTTATGGAACAGCGTTCCCCATGATATCAAAAAAAAGCCTAGTATAAAGCTATTCAAAACAGCTGTGAAAAAGCATTTTATAAGCTCGTATAAAAACCTGGACAACTTTGAAACAATATTAAGCAATAGTACGTTATCAATTTTAATTTTTTATCAATTAATTTTATCTTTCTGAATATTTTTATATGTCCTGCTATTTCTATCATAGAATTTTGTAATTATTTATATATTTATTCATTTATCAGTTTTTTGTAATGCTGTATAATCTAGTTAGAGGGCCACAGGTTTGTCAGCTATTCAGCTGTTACGTGTCCCCCTCTATAAATAAAGTCCTTACTTACTTACTTACTTCATTATGATATAGACTTGATCTGTCATTCTCTTGCGTGGGCACTTTGCTCTTGATCTCCTGGGCGTTTTGAAACTATAATAAAAAATGAATAACAAAGCAAATATAAAAGGTGAAATTACACAGAAACAATATCCATGTATATGATCATTAATTGCATGAACAAAGGCCATTAAACCAGGGCACTGGGCAAAAGAAACCCTTTATCAAAATATAAACTGACAGATGTACAATTAGTAAATTATCATTTTTTGGCACAATACAGTCTTTATTATGACTACATTTCAAGGAGTATAGTCATTTGAAAGTACGACTTCAGCCAAGTTGAAAGTATTATATACAGCTTTTTATTTCCCCTGTAATTAAAGAGAGCTTGTTTGCTTTGGAAATACTCACGTGATGATGTGCTGATGAACTTTGTTTGAGTTGTCGCTGGTGTCCGAGGGATCTTTTTATTGTGGTCCATCTGTCGTGGTCAGTTTTACCATCTGAAAAGAATCAAGAAAAACACTCAAGAAATTAAGGTCTTCTTTTGATCTTCTTGCAAGGGAGCACTCTGAACGGTGTTGTTTATAATAATAAAGATAATAAACTAAGGTTATATATAGGCAAGCTGAAGTACTGGAAATGTCATATTTAAAGTCATTCGTGAACTCAAGTTCAAGGAAGTCAATTGAAAGCTCTCTTTAGTATTTTTTTGCATATAAATTAAAAACAGTAAATATTGTATCCTAATAACAATTATTAGGAAAATGTTTATGTTGTGACAGTTGAGGGAGGGGCGCCTCATCTGGGAAGGGCCACAGCGGTCTGGTTCAAACTTACGCCACTGCATATAATATTAATTAGAAAGTGTTAATGTTTATACTTCGTAATTGTGCGAAATGTTTTATTTTTACCAATAGAAGTTAACCTTGTCGTATAAACAACATGCTGAGACATAGTAATCATCAAGTTGAAAAAGCCAATTGAAATCGTCAAAAATACAAGAGGTTTCAGGCAGATTTAAAAGTTTCAGTTTATACTTCGTACGTTAAAAATCACGTCCGTCCCGTCGTTCTTTCTAATGTACACAAATTTACTATTTCCCTGTTCGTTCTCTGTCAATTTTGATGGAAATTTTGAGTACATGGTGTATCTCTATAGATGCGCAAAAACGAGATCAACTGACGTAGAATGGTGATCAAAACAGACAAGCTATAAAAAGGCCTCCATCATTTATCTGTACTGTAACTTTTTCCAATGATTCCTTTAACTTTTCGATGTCTTTTTGTGAACTGTTTTCATTCCAGGAATTCCTTCTAAGCTCTTTGATCTCCAACAGTTCTTGTTTGCAAGCTACTTCCGTCGAGTGAAGACCGTCATAGTATTGTTCTGGATTTTCTTGCATCTTTTTTGAATTCAATTGACTGATGTAATATCGTATGATTCCGTAAATTCCTAATAACATAAGAACTTCATGATTTTAGTCATCAGACTTCTTGCAACATATTTCATTGTATGTGTGTTCAAAAATTTTATTTGCGCCTAAGCATCTAAGAACGTTTGACATCTGCATGGTCAATGATTATGTGTACTTCGCTAGATAAAGAAAATTATAATCGGAAATCTGTAAAACCAGAACACTAAAAATGGATTGCTGACCTATAGGGACATTCAAGCGAATATTTTTAGTTTAGTATTTACTTGTATCATTCCAACATGATTGATGTTTACACTATTAATTTAATTTTACTAAAAGGAAATCATTCAATACAGCGATTGGAAGACTAAGGTATATGTCTGCTACGCTAACAAGAAACCGTTTGATAAAGTACGGGTAATTCAAAAGGAAGTTATTGCAATTAGAAAAATAGGTTCGTAACGCGTATATGTGGGTAGCTTGTCAAGTATATAGTTACTGCATGAAGTAGATTTAATCAACATATTTATATTAAAATTATATAAAAAAAATATCTATTTGTTATTATTTACTTCAAACTAGTGCAAGATTTGAAAATGCTCTTTAGTTATATGACCATGTAGTTGCCTAACCTTTCTGCATTTTTCGAACGCCCTAGCTTATATTGAACGGAACGTGACTGTGCTCATAAGCCTCGCATCATGGAAAGTGAAGTCATTTAAATTTTTCTTGACTTTCACAGGTTTTTCCTACTGAAAACAATTTTTGCTTCAATTGTGTTTCAAAAGAGTTTTTGACGTGTCTGAGATGTCCTTGGTCCCACAACTGATAAATCAAAAGTATGAGTGTATTAGACTACGACGTTTACACTAATTCGGATCGGTCTGAAAACGGCAAAAGTAACAGAACTGGGTTCGTTTATTCTGCACTTTTGCCAGAGCGATACGACCACTCTTTCTAAACGTCGTCGAACAAAACGAAGCGCTACGCATTGTCGTGTAAATAGCTAACCATTTAAATTTTGCTAAAATTTAGAAACCTTTTCCATTTAATTTGTCCCGTATTGTGACGCATAGTTGAAAATGGTGATCATTTTACGTTTTGAAAAGCTTTTGATGACTAATTCCGTTGTAATTATTAAACATCATTGTTTTTCATAACATATGGCTAGAGATATAAACATCTAGTAATATGCAAATAAGAAATGGCGACATCTTTCACAAACAAATAACGAATTTTAACAGCGAGGGACACCCGCAAAACTGCAGCGGAATTTACGCGGATATGGGCAAACCCAGTCCAATTATAAAGAAGCGTTTATCCGGCGTAGTGTAAAAGTAGTCTTAGATTAGAAGTAAAGACACTTGTATTATGGTAGTAAACATAACACAATTATATAGAAAGCGCTGTTTTTTGTTACTTTTTTCTAATCACATCCCGAAAAGTCATAAACAATATTTGATACGTGTAGACAGGGCCTAAGTCAATATTTATGCAACCTCCATGAAGAAGCAATATGCTTGCATTTTCGAAGTGATATTTCTAGCAAAGATAGCTCGAGTCGATTCATTGTATGATATTTTCGTCCTGCAAGAAATATTTTCGATTTTGTCAGATTACCGTGGCTAAAAAGCTATTTATATTTGAGTGGAATTTGAAACAAAGATTGGACTATGCGAGTTATGATGGTCGATCTATTCGACAAATACAATTTTGGGTCAAGAATGAAAGTAAATCTGACGTAGGAAGGACAATGAACAAAAGATGCATAAATTTTGACGTAGTTGTACGTCGAGGAATGAAATTGAAATTACAAGAAAAAAAGATGTTGTTAACAAAGATATTTTTATCCAAGCTTTCTCTGGTGTTTGTTCATCAAGAGAGCTTTTTTATCGGTTGATGTTAGAGCTAGTGTTGTCAATTTTGAATGTTCAAATATATGCGTTGTTTTGTTGTAAATTATTTGTTATCGAATCAATGATTGCTCGAAAGATTTTGAATACATTTGATTTACCGAAGGTAAATTTTACCCTCAAAAAGTATAAAGTGAAGTACCAGGCAAACAAACTTGCAAGAAAGCAAAACTTACGAGATTGCTAGCTGCTAAAGTGATATTCTATCCTTATTGTGTGCTGAATTTGATCAAATGTGTGATTTAAAATGACATTATACAGCCTTGTTTTTAAAGTTTTCTGATAAAGGATAAAATGCTGCCGTACGCCATCTCTTAAAATCTAAGTTGAAAATACCGGAATATGATTCCACTTTTCTAAGAGATAGCATACCATAATCCATAATACTTCATTAGAAAAGTTGGTTCAAAATTGTAAAGCTACTTGTAATTGATAGGCGATACTTCAAGTAATAAAGAAACTTAGATCCCAAAGAAAAAATTACATGATGTGTACGCTCATTAATGCCAAATTCAATAATATTAAAAACTTTACGTACAACTCTTTTGAAGCTAGTTTTGTGATTAAATATATTTTGTTACAATGGCGGATCCAGTGTTAGTCATAATAAATTATAGGCTCGATACTCAATTTTTAATACAAAACACTTTCAGAAGTAAACTAAATATTTGAATTTCTAAATGATAAAATTTTATCAAAAAAATTTCCTCTAAGGTATTTTTTAAACCCCAAACGAGCTACAATAATTTATTCTGATTGATGTGTCATAGATCCGTCACTCATATAGAAATATCAAACAAAATTTGAAAATGGTAGAGTTATTGTATGTTATAAAGAACTAGCTATTATACATAAATTAATAATTTATCTTCCGATTGTTTTTTCAACTTTATCAGAAATTTTATAGCTATAGCTATTTCTTCCCTTACATCTTGCCAGTAAGTCTTCCATTAATGAAAACTTTTGAATCGCCTCAGTGGTATTCAATTTTCGTTGATGATTGCGTTCATTCATATCAAACTGTTGAAACAACTTAGATAGGTCTTGTTTCCAGTAAAATGTGGTCACATGTATCGCTATCAAACAGAACATCATCATTTTGTCGCCTGTACCTTTCAATTACGGTGTAGTGATCACTATATGTCACCAAGTTGTGAGACATTTTACTCGACAAAGTTAAGATACGATTTATCCAACACCTAGAGGCGTAAATGGTCACGTGATGTGGCAACCAAAGGATTCGATGAAACTGTTTTCTTCGCCCTGTTAAATGTCGTAACGTTTATTCTGTTCTTAAAATAATTAAAAATTGTCTGGTTCAGTGCTCTGTTGATAAAGCGTTTCCACGAATAAGTATCTGTTTCGTGTGTTTGATAGCACGAGTAGACACCATAAAGTAACTTAGCCATCAAAATCAACATATGAAGAATTTGGCTAAAAGGAAAAAATTGATTGAAAACTAAAGGCCTTTAAATGGTTTGTCTTTCTAAGTTTTAATAATTGATCAAAAGCAAAAACAGAAATTCATCTTTCTTTTTGTGTATCTTAGCTTAAATATGAAGTCTCATATAGACAAGTATCACGATAATAAATTTAAGACTTCAGACAACAGACTTGATCTTGATAAACTCCTTTGCACTAGTTCATATCTAACTGTTATAGGCGTTCAGTTTCAAGACGATTCTCTAGCATATTCTTGAATGATTTAAATAGCTACTACATGCATGTTTTTCAAAACGTTTTCACTTTCAGGTATACAATTGACGTCACTCGATCTTTTCATTCGAATCTGTCTAGTTTTCACTTTCTTACAGGGATAAAAAAAGAGAGAATACTTACAGCACAGATCGTACAGCATTGCTCAGAAGGCCGGTGAGAAGACTGGATAGCCACTGGTTAATGCTATGCACTTGATAAGTAGATAGGATTTTACTTTTTCTTTCAAAAATCTTTAAAGGAAAAATAGTCACGATGTGAATAAAATATTTTCAGATATATCTAAACTGCGAGTAGCAGATTGCAGTGCAGTTTATTTGTAATTGCAAAGCTAAAAAGTGTAATTGTTCAGTAGAAACTCTGTAAGTGCACTGTGAAAATGTGTAATGTAAATACTGTTTGTAAAAGATGACTACCGCTAAGGTTGTCGAAACGTCAGTCAACAACAACAAAAACAGTCCTTCTCAGGACTTTATTAACCTGGATGATCATCATTTACAAGATGACTACCGCTAAGGTTGTCGAAACGTCAGTCAACAACAACAAAAACAGTCCTTCTCAGGACTTTATTAACCTGGACGATTATCATTTACAAACATCCATTTACTTTATTAATGTAAATACTGTAACCTGATTGGCAGAAAGGCATTGAAAGCTAAAGAAGCTTTTTCACCATGCATTTAAAACATGGAAGCAGTTGCAATTAAACAAAAATTTCCACAATTGCAATCGTGTGAAATTCAAGAATTACAAAAAATACAAAGATTAAAAACACAACAGGAAGTAATGTTTTTGTGGTGAATGTTTATAAATGTTGGAAAATTGCCAAGACTGCTAATATCGCACCCTTTTTGGTAGTATTTCGTTGCAGTATTTCAAAAAGCTCTCTCGCACATGTTCGTCCATAAGCACTCGAAACTTTTCTATTAAAAGTTTATTCAACTGTAAAAATGTTTCATTCTATCGAAAAAATATAACTGCTACTGTAGTATGCTTTAAAAAAAATCGCTATCCCATGTACTCACCTATTTCTATGGATTAAAATCGAACGGAAGAAAGTGAGATAATATTGGTCCATAATTTAAGATCCAAGAGGCTTTGCAACTTGTGTGTTATCTACGTTTTCTGAATTTTTTCTTTCTTGGGGTAACAACTTTTCAACTTGTCAGGTCGTTTGGTGGTTTTTGCCTTTGAGGCTTTTATCTGTTTTTTTTGGTTGGCATAATGAGCGCCTAATTGGCATTTTCCCATTCTTTTCAATTGGTTCATATTGCATAATATCCTGATCTTTTTTTTGGTTCTTTTTATGCTTAAGAGAAGGTCGATAGGGTTTGTTGGGAAGCTCGGTATGTTGCTACGTAAGTTGTGGGATGAGTTGTCAATGTCTTCTTGTTTGCCCTAAAATCTATATTATGTAAGTTCACATGCTTCTTTTTGAGTTCTTTATAATTGAGCGAGGGTGGGAAGTTTCGGAATTTGGCTAACACCAAAAACAAATTTTAAGTTTAAAGACCATCAGCTGCCACCGTCCTACTTGAACAACTAAGATTTCTATTATTTGCGTGACTTTGGACATATTCCGTTTTGCAAATGTCCGAATAGCAATCAAACCATTTACTGGCAATGACAGAAATTCCATAGTTTTCATCATTTTCATCGTTTGTAAAAGATAAGACAACAACCTGAGCAGAAAGGGCTTTATCAAAGTCTATCGGATTGTCTCTACCATTGGTGCCATCGTAAATTTTAACTTCCTTCATGTGTTTCACCAGATTAACGCAATGGCTTATTTTATTCGTGTGATAAAGCAAAACACCTGCATTACGCTTTGAATTTTAAAAGCGTTTTCACATCTTCCAGTAGAAGCCCTCTGTTGTCATCCGTGCACCGTTTGAGGAATATTTTTCTCAAGAAGCCTTTTTCATTTAGGACAGGAAGTACTTTTGTGCATGGCAACAAACCATCCATTTCTCCAAGCTTCTCTTGCATTTTTGTCTCCTTGTTTTCGAACACATCTTTCACCGTAATTTGTTGTAATTTCTGACAAAACCTTGACATACAAAAACGTACTCCTTCTTCATAGAGCATCACCTGCAGGGCAACTAAACCACATGACCGTTTACAGAAAATCATTTTCCTTGGATCGAGGCAGCATAACTGTAAACATAATATAATATATTTTAGGCTGTGGCGTAACAAACTTGACAATTGGGAGGAAGGGGGTGGCGGCGCATATCCATACATGCATGTTTTACCACATTCACTTCTTTTGAACTCTATTGTTTTCTTTGGACTAAAACATGCATATATTACTTGTTACTATTAAATGCATATATTCCCCACCAATTACAGCTATGATACCACGGACTTATAACTAACCTAAAGCCTACATTAAACTCAATTTATTCCGTTTGAGTTTCTTTGCACCTCGTTTCCTCATAGATGAATTATCAAAATTTTCAGGTTTCAATGGCTAAGCTAGAATCCACCGAACCAAACAGACATGACATATTTTAGAAATGGAATAGTTTACAAGTCATCTGTCTAAATGTGGTTTCTTTATTGGATTTGAATGTGTCTTTATGGCCTATTGTAAAAGATATTTGGGGAAATTGGATTGTCCATACTTAGCAATAATATCTACACATACTTGATTGTCTGTATTTGGCTCATCGCATTCTTGTGGAAGACTTTTCCCTTCGCTCTGCACCATATTTTGAGGCTAAAATAGACAAAAAACAACACTATAAACAATGTACAATGCACACTTAGATTGTATGGGTTCTTTACTTTCCACACACTTAAATCGTAACTGTATAAAGAAAAACTACGGAACCAGTAAAATTGGGAAGTATAACACTTTTAGAAAATGCAGTCTGACTGATATGGAAAAGGCAATTATGATCATGTGAAATTATCATCAAATAGCATAAAAAAGGAAAGCATTGGTTGCCTATTTGTTTAATATGTGGCTTGTAACAAAGATTAGGATTTTAATTCGTACAATCTAGAATATGATTGGCTGAAACCTAAAGAGAATCAACAATTAGACAAAAAGTGTAAATTAGCTATCTATGAGCGAATATTTCCCAAAGACGAAGCCCAAGAACTATTGATTTCAAAAAAATTTTAATTTCCCTTTGTCAGCAATTAGTTTACATACTTGATGGTCGGACCAAGGTTTGCTGCGTTCTTGTGGAAGTCTTTCTCTTTCGGTCTCCAACATATTTTGAGACTAAAAATCGCCAAAAATAACGATAAAATATTATGGCAATGCTTAAACAAAACTTGAATTGTAATGAGACCCATATACACAAACCAAAATTTAAAGAACTAAAACATGGGCTTCAGCACGATGATAAAAGTACCATTTCAAAAGATCTTTGACACTGGATGTAAAGCGCTCCCTTCATTAATCCCCTTACTAACCTCAAAATCACTGTCGTACAAAGAACCATTCAACTCATCTTCATTTTCTTCTGGTGTCATTGCCTTGATTGCTTCTTGCTGAAAAGAGTTTGATGACAGTGACGTCGAAGAAGAAATTAAGAATCCCATCTATAAGTCTGAAAGCATGCCAAAAAATTAAAACCTACCGGGTGATCTTGGTATTCTTCGCCATGATCTGACACACAAGATTCCTGCATAATTTTCCGCCCCTGAAATCGAGAAATATTTTTTTAAAAATATCGTTTTCCAAGAGAAAGATAATCAGTTTTTTTCATACATCCTGTATAAACTGATTGGAAAATGCTTTTGCGCATGCTCAAATATGTTGTTCTGAAAGATCTTGCAGAACTGAAATAAGCGTGACTAACTTTGACAAATTGATTTCTTTCTCTCCGGTGACATGCTCAAGTGATTGTGTCTTGTGTTAGTGCAGACTTAGGTTAGTGGAAAATTTGGTTTCATTAAGCATGATAAATTGTGTTGTTCTGCAGGTGATAATATGAACAGTTTCTTAAAGAAATTCTTTGCTACTCAAATCTTTGCTTCAATGTGACTAGTTTTCCGTTTTTTGTTCATCAAATATGATGACAAATGCGCACAAACATGGTTGTCAACTTATTTTGATGATCACAAATGACAAGTTACAAAAATTACCTCAATTTTCATCTTGGAAAACTCATCGCACGTCTTTGAACTGAATTCATCGTAACGTTCTTTAAGCTCTCTGACTTTAACTTGACAAACTTCAGCAATAGATTCAATCAAACGACAATACTCATGAATTTTTTTATGTTCACCTTCCAAAGTTATTGGAACACGGAGGTTTGACATGTAGGAAAGTACTGACTGCAAATATTCCAAGTCAAATGTCATTTTGTCTTGGGTTTCCTTTTGACAATCGACCTGTAAATGCAAGCAATGGTATTGGAAAAATGTTACCAACAATCTATAAAGCCTCCAGATAAAAAATCAAGTGCATGATTTCTCTCCATCGTCATTGATGTTTACTTACTGAGGGGCGATCGAAATTATAATCACTATGGTAACTAAAGAGATAAAATACACGGAGAACGCAGAAGGTTAATGATTAGGGGGGGAGGATGCTCATATTATGCATGTTCTACTTTATTAGTTAGTTAAAATAATTGTAATAACGAATTAGACAATATATATGAATGTATGAACAAGCTCCCCTTCCCAATCATCGATCTTCTGCGATCCCTGATACAGGGTGTGTTAAAAAACCTGCAAAACCGTAATTTACATAGCAGCAAGCTCCAATTTTTAGTATACAAATGCATGTGCAACTTTTTACACACCTAGGATTGTAAAATACGTTCTAATTCAACACATTGAGTAAATTCTCAAGTAACCACAAAACTAGGAAAATTTATTGTGCTAAGTTAAGGCCCGTTTCTACTTAAGAAATTTTCCAAGGAAAGTAAAATTTTCCAGATTGCGCATGTGTTAAGTAATGCAAGAGATGCGTTCAAATTTTCCAGTGAAAAAGTGTTTATTCAAGCAGAAATTTTGAAATCAAGTCACAGATGTTAGAAACATTTAGCATAAATTAATATAAAATTGTTTGAATAGTATTTGTGGTCTACAAGTCTTATTTCCCGAATAAAAGTGGCAAATTTGCCGTTAGTCGTTGTTTCAGCAAATATTCGTCTTGCAACATATTTTCTTGTATTTATTTTGTGTGCCAACCTTGTGTAGTAGCTGTTTCTTATCAGCAAAAGAAATAATATACGCCTATTTAAGGCCGCCATATTTATTCCCACCTTTACATGAATGGAAAATGAAAATTGTTCCTGAAAAAACAGATATGCCGCAAATTTTCCTTTCTAAGCAAAAATTCTTAAGTGGAAACGGACCTTTACGCTTGAACACAATATGAGACAAGTTTTTACATAACTTACAAATTGCGGCTGCCTCACATACGGCAAGACACAATTGTGGAACACCTTGCCACAAACGGACTGCCAACAACAATCAGGTTGGGTTAGGATGAGGATTAAGTTTAGGGCTATGATTAGGATTAGGATCAGGCTTACACGTAGAGTAAGTATGTGACAGAGTGTTCATCGATTTTAGCTTCCGTAACAAATTGCCGATTTATTGGGGATTATTGCAACGTTTTAACGTCGGGTGATATGAAAAGGTTGCAATATTTTTGCAGCATTTTTCCTTGAAACTTTACTCCTCTGTTGTTTGCAACAACAAACAACAATTTCTGAAAATTTTTCGGCAGTTCGTACGTAGTCGCAAAATGAAAGAATTTAAAGACTCTTTGTTTCTTTTTGTATGTGTACTGAAGAAGAATGCGTTTGTTTTAAATTTCATTGAACATTATTCTGCGTATGATGCATCACAGGGAAAAAACCTCTGTTTCATTTGCTTTTGTTTGAAATAGCAATGAAACCTCATTTACTGCACTCAGTTCTTAGCGGAGGGCAAATGCAATTTCGACGTGAAAACATGTAAAACATAGCTATCACTGGAAAAACATAAGCGTAAAACACAATATCAAATGCACTTAAGCGTATGAAGCTTCGACTCACTTCTTCTGGTACGTGCACACTGTATACCCCATTGCTATAGCATTTTAAATTTTCGGTGTATTATATGTCATTGGTAACGTTTAACGTCAGAAAACGAAGCAAAAAGGGCTAAATTTATCAAATTAATTCGCCTTTGCTTCAAATAATCGCCCCTAAATGAAGGTAAACATTGCCTAAGGGGTCAAATGGGAAATCCCCCAGATTATAGAGAATGACTATATATGTACATTTCTTTAGAAATCTAACTAAACTGACTATAATCTAGCTTTGAAATTAACTGAGCAACAAAATGCTTACATAGCAATACTGAAACTTGCTTAGAAGAGCAATAACTCGTACTTTTCAAACAAAAACATCTTTCAATAAATAAAGTTGAATTGTAACATTCGAGGTCATTTAGTAACCACTTCAACTTGACATTTATTGGCAAAATAATTTCTTTTACCAATAAGTTATTAAGCATTCCCAAATAAAGAATTGTAATGGCATTCATTATTTCGCTCGTATTTGATTAAGATGTGACAATATTTGATATTTTAAAGAAATGTTGAAAAAAGCACAATGCAATAAATATTGGGAAATAAACACAGATTGGACTTGCATGCTGTAAAGAGTCTATTTACAGTTAAAAAACTATGAACTTTTCAAATTAACAACTAGATTAGGAATTGTCTGCGGGTGCTGCAATTAAACAGCTAAGCAAATTATGTTACTGATTTTTGCTGCGCAGCACCATCGGTGGCACTTACTGTATTTTCCAATTGTTTTATCGTGTCCAGGTCTGTCACAATTTGCGTTCGGCCGACTACGTCAAGCA